CCCACTGAGTTTCTCGCCGGATCTTCTCAGTGGGTCGCGTTTCCGATCCGGTGGTAGATTCTGCGAAGCACTGCTCTTGCTAGGGTCAGTGTTAGCAACTCTCCGGTTGAGCCCCGCGAGCTCACCTACTAACGTTAGGGCGAAGCTGAAATAGCCTCTCAAGGCTATCAGCACAGGTAGGAAAAAAAAAAAAAAAAAATTAATTTAAAATGCAAATTAGAAAATCAGACTTCGCGACTAAGGATCAGACCTAATCAGAAAAAACTCATGTAGAGGATTTATTTATTAAAAAATGTGTTACATAAGTACAAACTACATTCATACATATAACACTATTTTTATCTATATTAACACGTCAATGTGTTTACGTTAAATCATTAGTGGGTTACAATAACAAGAATCCATTGTGCGTCTTAAGCCTAAATGTTCAATAAAATATAAAGATAATACATACTATATAGTGAAAATCAATAAATAATATTCCTTACACAACTAACGTGATATGATCCTTAAGATACATTGAAATAGCACGAAGTGCTTTTAATAAGACTGTTTATTAATACTTAAAATAAACAAGTTTAAATACATTCAGAAAGTGGTAATCAACTAAAAAACTATTTTTGTAGTCTAATTTCTAGAGTTTTATTACTCATTAACCTTAAAAAGAAATGTGACATTAATATTTGAAATAATAAGTTGGGGAAAAAGTTTCTTCGCATTTTTTAAGAAAATTGACAAACATTTTTAATATAGTTTAACATTTAACTAAAGTATGTAGGTACCATTTTGTTCGATAACTTTTTGCCATCTTGTAGGTAGGGACATGATCCCATTGCTATAGCAGTTTTGGGGCTTCTGATCAAAATACCGCGACAATTGGTTTTGGCAGTCCTCTCGTGATGTTAACCTGACACTGCCTAAAGAATTCTGAAGAGACCGAAACAGGTGGAAATCTGAAGGTGCAAGGTCAGGACTATACGGCGGATGCATTAACACCTCCCAGCCAAGTTCTCTTAACTTTTGCTGAGTGGCTAAAGATGTGCGAGGTCTAGCGTTATCATGATGAAAAACCACACCCCTTCTGTTGATTAATTCCGGCCGCTTTCTCTCAACTTCTTGCTTTAATCTCATCAGTTGTTCGCAGTACAGTTCAGGATCGATGGTCCTGCCTGGTGGTAACAGCTCATAACGAATAATGCCCTTCCAATCCCACCACACACACAGCATCACCTTGTTGTGAGTTAACCCGGGTTTCGCCACAGTCTGTGAAACCTGACCGGCCTTTGACCACGACCTTTTTCACACGTTCTTGTCGTACGTGATCCACTTTTTATTACCAGTTAATAGCCTCCATTTTATGTGTAATAGGACGAGCAGAGCGACGTACATCTTTGACATCAAAATTTCCGGATTGAAAACGCTTAAACAAAATTTGTGCTATTCTCACAGACACTGCACTAGGTCCATAAACATCGAAAATTTTTTCGCGGCTCGCGTTGCATTTTTACCTTTTTTGTAGTAAAATTTTAAAATGTATCGAATTTCTTCATTAGATTCACTCGTCTTGACAATACGGAAATAAATAAAAATCACACATTTTCCTAATTTGAATTTGGAATTATCTTCTTCAAAATTTAAACTTTTAATGATAACAAAACCAGTCAGATACGAATAGTATAGCCAAAGAGATTTTATTACAAGTTCATACATACTATAATGCGAAAAGACTTTTTCCCCAACCTATTATAAATAAAACAAAAATGTTGCGAAAATACCTATGTCTATATTAAATTCTAAAAAGTAGTGTTTTGAATAACCCCCATTGTTTAAAAATTCTAGGTAAAATTATGGCACTGCTGATTGTTACGGAAAATTCTAGAATTCTTATTGATAATATCATAGCTATGCTACGAGTTTTATTTTTAAATATCAATTGACTATCTCCTAATCTATTTTAAAGCATAGAAGCTGGAAACTATTTAATCAATCAATCAGCCGTTTTAAAGATAAATTAAACAAAAAAGTTAAGCGAACTCTAACGTTGAAATTGACTATTAGCGGCAACATATTTCCCAACAATAATATGATTTTTATGTTTAGCGTTTGTCTCATTTACATATTCCGTGCATTCTGTAAGATATTTTTATTTTTACGGGTGATCTGTTTGATTACGTGTGATCAGTCATCTGTTTAATCTTTGGCGGGGCAGTTTGTAATAATTCTTGGATAACGGATAACTTAATGCTTAACCTAAGATCCGGAATGGATTGAATTTGATTCGGTTCTGCTGTTGAGGTCTCCTTGACCGATTAGGTCTATGTATCGGTTCGCTCGCCGCTGATAGGAGAGGCGATTGAAAATCGTTAATTTTGGTCTCGGTAGAATTCAGATTATCGTCTTCGTGGAATTCGTTGGGAATATCAAATGGTTCCTCAGGTATTCCAAAGATAGTGGTGGTATTTGAAGTTTTTTCCGTAATAATACTTATTGTACTGGTTGTTGATGATGTGCTTAAGTTAAAGTCTCCTTCAAATGGAAATTTATCAGTCATTTCATTCTGTTTTGAAATAGTAGGTGGTATTTCTGAAGATATCATTATATTAGTATTAATGGTTGTAGAATCTATTTGAGGTTGAGTGACGTTGGCTAACGGAGTAATATCCATGTTAGTTGTGGAGTGTACTTCATTACTGGTGGTATTATTTAAAGACAAATCGGGAGAAGAACTTGAGTTACGAAAAACGTCTAGGAAATAAGGCATCATCGTGGAAACTTCAAGTACTGTTGGATTTACAGTTGAATCATTTTCTGAAATGATTGTAATGTTAACTATTTCGTGATTCATGATAACCTTTTGCGAAGAATTGAAATCTTGAGCGACACCCTCGTTAATGATTGTAAGCGTAGTGTTCACTGTTCTAAAATTATTTTCAGTTTGATTAGTAATTTCCGTTGGGAGATCTTGCATTATTTCAAGGTTAGATATATCACCGGAGTAATTTGTGTTTATTATCTGTTTGGGAGCAACCGTTGGTTCATCCTTCAAAAACACCGTCAAATCTATCATATGGTCTTCATCACTATCTGCTACTGCTTCTTGGATTATGGGTCTTGCGGTGCTTGTTTTAAAATATACATCTTTGACTGTCAGCTCCGTTTGAACTGGAATAATTACGGTTGTTTTACGGAAATCGTATAATTTAATTTCTGGTGCTTTTAATAATTTTGTTTTCGGATCATCGAACTTTTCGTTGTATTTTTTTGGTACAGTATGTTTTATATTTTCTTTTTTTTCATCAATCCTTGTTTTCAGATCAGTGTGGGTTATCACGTCGATTACTTTGTTGACTGGTTTTAGTGTAGTTAGATCGTTTCCATTGGCAATGGAATAATCTACATTTTTATTTCTCAAATTGTGTTTGGTAAATTGCTGTACAGCAAGTTGTTGCGCATGCTTTTCTGCTAAAGACAATACAGTCATATCATCGCTAAGCTTAGCTTTAGCCATCACAAGAGGTGGTACAAAATGATCAGTAGGTTGAGTGAAGATTTTATCCAAGTTTCCGAGCCGCGCTATTTCTTCATGTAGCATCTTGTGTTGCATATGTTTTTCATCTTCTATTTTCTCTAACTGTTCGTTGGTTAAGAAATTTACTTTAATTGGTATCTCAGGAACCATGTTACTTTGAAGATTGTTGTCATGAATAACATCTATGTCCACATTTTTTTTCAAATTCATATCATTTACAATATTAGTATTTAAAAAGTAAGTATTTGGTTTTTTCTCAATATTCACAATCTCTGGAATCGGAGTAGCTGATACTATAGTGGACTGATTTATATCGTCTTCGTGTTCAGTAGTAATGCTATCCTCAGTAGTAATATCTTTGGTTGCGTCTTCATCTGTGAAACGGTCTGTTGTTGAAACCCACGTGGTGGTTAAGCCAGCCACTCCAGGAGTACTTGAAACCTCTTCTTCTTCGGTACATGATAATTCTTTCAACAAATCTTCACGTTTCTGTGCAAAAATATAAATTGCGTTTAAAAATAATATAATGGCGGTTTTTAAACTAATTTATTTGAAGAATATAGTGTAACTTACTACATTTCCTGTGCATTGAACACGTTTCACACCGGCTAAACCACAATCTGCTGTAAGTTGAACCGCGGCGCTTTCAGGGAGATACAATATTGTTAGTGCTGGTAGCGCCCGTATCATGCAACCCTCGTTACCAAGAGCCCATTGTGGTACTGTGAACAATAGCAATAGTAAAGTAAAAATTTTAACTATTGTTTTTAACTCTAATACAAAAAAAACAAATAAGTTTTCCACAGTGAACTGACTGTACTTGCCAAATGCTTTTAATAATTATTTACTCCTAAAATTATTTTACGGTTTAACCTTCTGTTTACTTCTTTCATTTTATTACCAATTTTCCGACATTTCAAATACTGTATAGCTTTCGTGGCTACGGATGACTAAGGTCGTCAACATTTGACTAATGTGCTTATATAACCTAATTAAAATTAAAAAATATTTTACTTCTCATTTTACCCATTTAAACCTAGCATCACTCACCTGGTAACTCGCAAATAAATGAAGCGACAGTGGGTCCACCACAAGCACGTGCTTCCCAACGGTAGTCAGCGGAAGGGTTTGCTGCAGCACACAATGGGGCAGTGCGAGCATCAGGTGCTGAGCTCCAATAACCATCTCCGCTTAGACCTCGATAGTCCCTATTTTAAAAGATTCATTGTAATTCTTTAATAGTCAATTTTTTACCTGATATCTGTGCATAGGCAAACAAACTAACCTGTTTTGTGTTTGTTAATAAAATTGAAACAAAATTTTCGTTTTGCACGTGAAATAAGTGTATTATCTAGGTTTTTAGATCAAAATAATTAATCATAATAGTCTGTCTGACTTAAGTACCTGTGCGAATGCCGTGAACCTAAATGGTATGAACATCTTACGTATTTTAAGCATGATTTCTACTTCGGCTTAAAAGACAAGACCACCTTTGTACCAATACGATTGAGACTTCTAGCCAGTGCGTATAAAGGCAGCGATATTCACGTTGTGATGTCTACGGGCCTCTGTGATCACTTAACATGAAGCTTCTTAGATATAGCCACATTCAATTAAAAAGAAAACGTGTTTCTTCTGTTGGCATCACTACGCCATACAGAGAAGTACCTGTACACTTGACGCCAGGATTTTTTTTATCATTTACTGATAAAACAAGATAATATTACACTCACGTCCAAGTGAAATCGCCGTCAGGATTGCTGCGTATGAGACCGACCCACACGGCACTCGTAATGTCCAATTCCTTGAGGTAAGCTCGCACGGCGTCGTATTGAGCGGTAGTATCCACTACAACAAAAATAATTATGCAACAACTTGCTGGGGGATACTAACAGTGAAGAAAATTATAAATAGCATATGTAACAATTACACATATGAGCAATTCGTAATTTATTTAATACGTAGATAGGTGAATAACAGGATTTGAATTTCTGCATTTTCGAGAATATTCTTCGTATCATTTTAGCCGTTGGACCACAACGAAAAATTTTATTTTGAAGCATTCAACTTTAAAATATGCTGTGCATACTGTAATTTTAACTATTCCAGACCGAATGGAAGTATTTTAAAAACCTTCTGGACTGCAAATTTAAATTGTGTTAAGAATAAATGGAAAATGTAATTTATTCCCGCTGTATTTTCACAAGGTTCCTGACTCTATTCAATTACTAGCGCGCGCTGTGCAACGAGTTTCAACGACTAACTAAAAATATGTTTGCATTTAAAACAATACGTTAACTCCATTTAGAAAGGATGGGGGCCGGGGTTGCCGGTAATTCTAATCTCAAGGGTCATTTGGAGCCTCAAAATCTCTCTGCGTTATGTGGTATAAAGAATACTAAGAGGAGTTGCTTGCATCGATCGGATAATTTCCTTCCTGTCATGGTTCAAAAATTCATTGGTAGTAGGACCTCTTGTGAGTCCGCGCGGGTAGGTACCACCACCCTGCCTATTTCTGCCGTGAAGCAGTAATGCGTTTCGGTTTGAAGGATAGGGCAGCCGTTGTAACTATACTGAGACCTTAGAACATATCTCAAGATGGCTGGTGCATTTACGTTGTAGATGTCTATGGGCTCCAGTAACCACTTAAAACCAGGTGGACTGTGAGCTCGTCCACCCATATAAGCAATAAAAAAAATGGTACCACGTTCTTCAAACGAGGCTTGTGGAGAGTACTTTACGGTAGGCAGCAGGTTGGCTCTGCCCCTGGCACTGCCGACCTCCATAGGCGACGGTAACCACTCACCATCAGGTGGGCCGTATACCCCTCTACCTACAAGGGCTATAAAAAAAGATAAGCCTCTTACCTTCGCTATTTTTTGAGCACTATAACATGTTATTTTTCAATGAAGGCTTAAATTGTTGATATATCTTAGTAACGGTGGCTACTTACTACCACGTGTGGCGTGTGTTTGTCTGTTTAAGTTAGTAGTAAAAAAAAAACACAATCTTTTGATTATGACAGTGGTTAACGTTGTCTGACGGGAATTTAGTAGACTCCATTGTAAAAGATTAATTCTTGTCGCACAGAAAGAGTGCGTTTCAGTCTAAAGATTGCTATTGAGGCAACATCTCTCAATTTGTACCGGACAATATACACGATAAAGTCACAGAGATTGCAGAAACGTGATGCTTGATTTAAATTTCATAGCTCACCTTGTCACTTTGTAATTTTATATTAAACTAGCCGTACTCGCCCGCTTCGCCGGGCATTTAAAATTAACATTACTATTTATTGTTATTATTATTAGGGAGCAGTCGTCACCACAGTGTCTCGAAGAACGCACGCGCCGCCCGTCGGTCGTTGCCTCTCGCGGACTCGGAATTTTTCCACGTGTGATAACTACCTTCCGTAATAATAATTTTGCCATCGATAAAATGATGCTAAAGTACTCAAACTATATATAGTAATAATAAGAGTTTTAGTGTGTTTTTTATATTGTTTCTGACTACANAGGATCTCTACCACCGCCTAATGGAATGTGTCCAGAACGAACCGGAAAGAGCAGAACTGCTGCAAAATACGGGTCTTTCTAGGTATGAATTGTTCTTTTTTTTGCATAATATTTTTGTATCAGGTTTTAAATGTGATTATAGTGATAGAGTTATGAGTTTTTTAGTTTGTTCTTTCTTGAAAGATGTAAATTAAGCGATATAGTTATTTAAGTGTTTTTGTTTAAGTTTTATGTTTCACTGTGTTTAAATATGCTATTTTTTTGTTTTGTTTATATAATAGCCGACTTAACCTAATAGGTGTATGGCTCTAATAAAGAATAAAAAAAAAAAAAAAAAAATTATTAGGGAGTCCAACACTCATATAAATATTAGCCTATCCATTAAGGACATGTATTTTCTACATGGATACAAAGTTTCAAGTCAATCGGATGCATGGTTCAGTAGTTATAACGGAACATCCGTAAAAACCACTGTAGATTTATATATTAGTATAGATAGCATGAGGACGCGCTGTGCTTCTTTCTACATTAATACAGCCTGTAATAAATTTTGAATACAGAATTAGGAGGAATGATAATGTTTGGATGTGATAGTTGTTACTTATAGTATCTAAATTATCTTTATTGTCTCACTAATTAAGTAAAGACGACTACCGCAACATTATTAGTTTTTGCACGCCGAAACTATTTTCTTGTTCTTATATACATAGTTTACAAGATGCAGGGTAGCTATCGTATTTGGAAACGTCGTATCAACCCATCTTCGCTGGTGCGCCGTCAAATTTTACGGTTAGTACATAGTAAAACGGATGAAACAAAAAGGATGTGAACTCCCGCAGCTATTTTACGAGGTTTATGTTTGGTATGAAATATCGAAAATTATTACACACGTCCAATAATTTTTACGGCGGCCATTACCGCATTTAACCTTTTTGCTTAATGAAAAAAAAATTTTTGGAACATTAAATATCGGTGCCGTTAAAGTTAATCTATCCAATTACTCCAATAACTAGTTAATATAATATTTTTTGCACTGAAATTTTAGTGCATGTAATAAAGAAATAAAACTATTCAATTAAATTGTTAGTTATGTATATAACGATGCCTTAAACCGACAAATAAATTTAGACTTTAACATCCCCTTTCAGCTGTCGAACAACTTCAGTAAACTATACTCCAAGGTTGACACGATTAGGAAATCCCATTACCGTCGGAAATGCCAAGTCGACAAGTCAGCCACATTCAAATTGACGTCATTAAGGCATGTTCCGAATGCTACTAATACAGTTTCTACATATAGCAAACGAAGGTGAACGATTTGATTCTGATGATTAATACGTATTGCTTAGTGTTTGGTTGGTTTTACTTGAAAGTTTTCCGAAACTAAAAGTGGACGTTCAGTATCGGAACTGATATTTAATATATAAACTGCTCTACTCGAAATTTAAATGCGAACCTGGTTAACATACTTGTATTGTACTAAGCCATATCATTTTGGCCACCACATTGGTCCGAGTACATAATCAGATGCTTGCATCTTACAATATTTCTAAGAAAATATATTATTATTATTATTATTTTATTGCTAGATGGGTGAACGAGCTCACAGCCCACCTGGTGTTAAGTGGTTACTGGAGCCCATAGACATCTACGACGTAAATGCGCCACCCACCTTGAGATATAAGTTCTAAGGTCTCAGTATAGTTACAACGGCTGCCCCACCCTTCAAACCGAAACGCATTACTGCTTCACGGCAGAAATAGCTAGGGTGGTGGTACCTACCCGCGTGGACTCACAAGAGGTCCTACCACTAGTAACATAGCCTTTCACCCCTCGATCTCATAAGCAGTCTGTCGAACGGATCTTAGCATTAAAAAAACATAGATCTAATTTATGACTTGAGCGAATAGCGCTTCTAAGGAAGCTCGTTCTTTGTTTTTGTATATGAAAGAAAGTTAATATTATTTAAAGCAATAAATAAAGGCTTCTTTTTTGTTAATGAATAACATATTATATTTTTACCTTGCGGTAAATGAAAATCCAAATTTCTGTGTTTATGTTTGTAATAATAAAATGAAAAGTCATAGAACCAAAACGGATGAAGTAAAAGAAACATCAAAAGAAGAAACAAAAGTGTTACTTCCACGCAGCACGCTTGCTATCCATATATGGGGATACTCGTATAACCCAACAGAGGTTTACCCTAAGTAAGCGGCCGATCGTAAAACTCATGCCAAATCCCTATGCAGCATGATAGGAGGACATGGTGCGCCTGCTCCACATAACATGGATTAAGGGAAAGAAGAAGAACAAGATTGACAGTCTGATTTCATATTAATTTCCCACACATATACGGTAATCCGACTAATACTATATTTCTCGAGGTTCATTAGATAGAGAAGTGGGCAAGATGTATAACAATAGTTAATCAGAAAAACCTATTAAGATGATTCATTCAGTATCGTGTTATACGATCCAATATTAAAGAGAAGAAAAAGAAATAACCTTATAAATCCTTTCAGAACTCATAACAAAAGCGGATTAGCTCGCTCTGTAATAACACACTGTGGCATTATACGTCAAGGGTGGTTCTTTTTTACTTGAATATTTCTTTTCGAAAATCTGAGACGGAAATCTGAACATTATTCTTGTCATGTCTAATTGCCTTTAGGCTGTTCCGTGTGATTCAGTTTTGAGTATATCATCTCGTTTAACATCGACTTGAAATGAATGCGACTCATTAATTAAAATACTGGTGGTAGGACCTCTTGTGAGTCCGCGCGGGTAGGTACCATCACCCTGGCTATTTCTGCCGTGAAGCAGTAATGCGTTTCGGTTTGAAGGGTGGGGCAGCCGTTGTAACTATACTTGAGACCTTAGAACTTATATCTCAAGGTGGGTGGCGCATTTACTATGGGCTCATGTCTATGTCATACGCGCAAATGTCTATGGGCTCCAGTGACCACTTAACACCAGGTGGCTGTGAGCTCGTCCACCCATCCAAACAATAAAAAAAAAACTTATGTTCAATTTAAACTTTTTTTTGAAATAAAATTTATGTTGTCATCTAAACGTACTATGACAGTAGTTTGCGTATTTTACGTATCAGATTTTAACATTCTCTATGCAAAAAAATCTTTATCGGAAAACTCGCACAGAAAAGAACTAACCAAAGTTTCAGTTTTTGCTCATATACTAAACTTAGCTTAATTTACACTAAGCTGAGGAGAAACTTACGAAGTCCGTCACACAGCTGTTAATCTAACAGTACTGAAACTTTCGGCGTGGAATCGACATTCACATACGATTACTAAACTTGGACCTCGGAGATGT